AGCCAGCTGTCAATCAACACCCCAGGTCCCTCTCTGACTGGCAGCTCTCCAGCCACTCCTCCCCAAGCCTGTAGAGCTGCTGGGGGTTGTTGTGGCCCAAGGGCAGCCCCCGGCATTTAGCCTTATTGAAACTCCCCCAGTTGGCCTCAGCCCATGGCTCCAGCCTGTCCAGGTCTCTCTGCAGAGCCTCCCTACCCTCGAGCAGATCAACACTCCCACCCAACTGGGTGTCATCTGCAAACTGACTGAGGGTGCACTCGATCCCCTCGTCTAGATCATCAATACAGATGTTAAACAGGAGTGGCCCCAACACCCAGCCCTGGGGGACACCACTCCTGACCGGCTGCCAACTGGATTTAACTCCGTTCACCACAACTCCTTGGGCCCGGCCATCCAGACAGTTTTTTACCCATCAAATCGTGTGCCCATCCAAGCCTCGAGCAGCCAGTTTCGCCAGGAGAATGCTGTGGGAAACGGTGTCAAAGGCCTTACTAAAGTCAAGGTAGACAACATCCACAGCCTTTCCCTCATCCAATAAGCAGGTCACCGTGTTGTAGGAGATCAGATCTGTCAAGCAGGACCTGCCTTTCATAAACCCATGCTGACTGGTCCTGAGCATCTGATTGTCCCTCATGTGTTCTGTGATGGTACTCAGGATGAGCTGCTCCATCAGCTTCCCGGGTACCGAAGTCAAGCTGACAGGCCTGTAATTTCCCGGATCATCCTTTTGACACTTCTTATTGATGGGCATCACATAGGCCAATTTCCAGTCTGTCAGGACCTCCCCGGTCAGCCAGGACTGCTGGTAAATGATGGAAAGCAGCTTGGCGAGCACCCCAGCCTGCTTCTTCAGCACCCTCGGGTGTATCCCATCTGGTCCCATAGACTTGTGTGTGTCTATGTGATGCAGCAGGTCACTGACCGTCTCCTCCTGGAATGTGTGGGGGTCGTTCTCCCAGTCCCAGTCTCTGTCTTGTGGCTGAGGAGACTGGATTCCCTCAGTACTGGGGGACTGAGGCAAAGAAGTCATTAAGCACCTCAGTCTTCTCCTCATCACTTGTTACCATGCTTCCTCTTCCATCTAGCAGGGGATGGAGGCTCTCCCTGGCCTTTCTTTGCTGTTAATGTACTTATAAAAACATTTCTTGTTATCTTTGACTGCTGAAGACAGATTAATTTCTAGCTGGGCTTTAGACCTCTTGATTTCTGCCTTGCATAGCCTCACAGTGTCTTTGTAATCACTGTGAGTGGCTAGTCCCTTCTTCCAAAGGCCATAAACTCTCCTTTTCTCCCCGATTTCCAGTAAAGCTCCCTGTTTAGCCAGGGTGGCCTTCTCTGGCATCAGCTTCTCTTACAGCACCTGGGGACTGCCTGCTCCTGTGCCATTAAGACTTCCTTCTTAAATAGTGTCCAGCCTTCCTGGACCCTTGTACCCTCCAGGATCCTCTCCCAAGAGATCCTGTCAAGCAGTTGCCTAAACAAGTCAATTTCCTGCAGTGATATCAAGGCCATTTGCTAATCTGCCTGACACATGTCAGGACATCGCCTTGCTCACATGCTCTGGTGTGCCTGTACAACTGCGCACCATGAGCCATATCTGTGCCTCCCTCACATGCAAGTGGGTGTGTGCAGTGTGCCAGGGTCTCCCTGTTTGTAACTGGGGTGAGGCTGGTCCCTGGTGCTGGGAAGCCATGGGGACCTGTGGAACTCTGTAAAGGCCGGTGGGATCCTCCTGTGCAAGATGTCCTCATGGCACAACACATGCAGGACATGTAGTGCACTTCCCTGGTCACAGCTGGACTGACTGCGCTGGTGCCACCCCCGGGGTGATGCTCAGCAGGCTGCTATTCAGACCTGCTGTGGAGAGGTGTCCGCTCCATGGCCCCAGCCTTCTTGGCTCTCACATGGTGGTGGGCTTGCTGACCAGTGCTGACACTCGAGATGATCTTGCAGGGGTGTGGTGGTTTGACCTTGGCTAAATACCAGGTACCCACCAAGTCGCTCTATCACTTCCTCCTCCTCCCCCTTTTTTTCTCAACAGGGCAAAAAGGGGAAAGAAAGTAAGATAGGAAAAAAACCCAACCCTTGTGGGTGAAACAAAAGCAGTTTTAATATAAGCAAAGCAAAGCAAAGGTCTGTGCGTAGAAGCAAAAAGAAAATAGATTTATTCTCTACTTCCCATGGACAGGCGATGTCGGGCCTTCTCAGGAAGCAGGGCTCCAATACGCGTAGTGGTTGCCTCGGAGGACCAAGGGTGACCCCACCCCCTTCCTCCTTTCTCCCAGCTTTATACTGAGCAAACGTCATATGGTATGGAATATCCCTTTGGTCAGTTCGTGTCAGCTGCCCTGGCTGTTGTCCTCTCCCAAGACCTTGCCCACCGCGTCCCACTGGGGGAAATATCAGAAATAGCCTTGGTGCTGTGTAAGCACTGCTCAGCAGTAGCCACAACACCAGGGTGCTATCAACACCCTGCCAGCTCCCGACATAAAACACAGCACCGTGAGGGCTGCTATAGGGGAAAATCAATTCCATCTCAGCCAGGCCCAGTACAAGGGTGTTTCTCTTGCACTGGCAGTGCCTCAAAGTAGCATTTGGCTCTGCAGAGAGGCTTGCGTCCTTCAGCAGAATCAATAATACTTTGCCTTTCAGTTTCTGTCTCTCAGCAACTGGGAAATTTGGGACCATGATGAGACCACAGTGTGAGGCACAGGGGCAGAAGGGACCACAGGTTCAGAATCATCCTACACCTAAAGCCAACAGTGCCTGCTACCCCTGAGCAGGGAACAGTTCAGACCCAGACCATGCAGGTAATTTTTGCTTTCCCACCTTTTTAGTAAAGAATAAATGTGTCTCCCACTTGGTGGCTGGAAAGTCACCAGAGCTGAGTTGTCTCCTTGCATCTTGCAGGACAGTGACATGAAGGGATGAGGTGCTTTCTGCTGGGTTTTTCTGCAGGAGTGAGGCATGGAAATCATCCCTGCAGAAATGTGTGTGATCAGTGGTGCTGCTTCACCTCCTCATTCATTGTGAGGCTTATTTTAAAGGAGCAAAACTCTTCCAGGTCCACAGCAAGCCAAGAACCTGGAGATTGCTCTTACTGCCAGGGTTTCATGCTGGAAGAGCTGTTGGGATGTGTGCTGTTTGACCACTATTGTTCAGAAAACAACAAAAGTGTCCATTGTAGATCCACCCAACGACATGGAGGGAGAGGATTCAGCCACACCACCCTCAGCGCCATACAGAAACATCTCCAATGCATCACTTGGGTTTGTCTGCTTTAGAAGTGTTAAGCTACTGCTCTAAACAATCACTTAAACGTGTTTTTACTGTCTTCAAAGCAAAAGTCAAACAAGACACAAACTGCCATGGTTAAAGTTAGAATTAGTTCTGAGAGCAAAATATCCTCATAAGTGGTCGGGTACCTACCCAGCCCCACCCAGCGCAGCAGAAACACACCAGAGGAAACCACCCATAGAAGCTTTTTCAAAATGGCATGTGTCTCCCAGAGACCTTCCTTAGAGAATCAGTGATGATGTGTTGGGTTTATGTGGAAAGGTTTTGGAAGCAAGGGGGCTACAGAGGTGGCTTCTGTGAGAAGATGCCAGGAGCTGCCCTCATGTTGGAAGTAGCCAGTTCCAGCTGACTCCAAGATGGACCCGCCGCTGACCAAAGCCAAGCCATCAACGACACTGGTAGTGCCTCTGTGATAACATATTTAAGAAAGAGTAAAAACCACTGTGCAACAGCAGCTGTGAGACAGGAGTCTCGTACATGAGAGAAACAGCCCTGCAGCACCAAGGGCAGTAAAGGAGGAGGAGGACGAGGAGGAGGTGCTCCAGGTGCCGGAGCAGAGATTTCCCTTCAGCCCGTGGTGAAGACCATGATGACAAGCCCCCGTGGGGGTCCACAGTGGAGTAAGATGTGAACTAGGGAAAGAAGTACCAGGAAGGATTTGGGGTGAGCTGATCCTCTTTCCCGTCAATTAGCTGGGAGTCAGTTAATGAAATATAAGAAAGTCACTCCCCTGAGGAGGGAGCTGCATAATGAGAGGAGATTGCGAAAGGGAAGAGAGAGTCGCTGATGAAGAGTTTTTGCTACCGTGTGTTAGTTTCTCAGAGAAGTATATTCCCTCTTAAGGGGATGCCATGTGGCAAAGCGAGCAAAGAGAGTAGTAAGTGCTTTGTACACGTGACTATTGCTGCACCCAGGATTTTCTTTCTAGGACCAGCTCAATTTAGCTGGAGCGCGACGTGTCTGGAGACACCGCCCCTTACTTGGCCAGGGCACAGCAAGCGGGCAGACGGGATTCTCAGAAAAGCAGCTCGTCAAAGCCGCCGCACGCTCCTCCCAGCCTCCTCCTGCTTCGCCGATAAGGAATGGCTGGCTCTGCCGGTGCAGCGAGGGCGCACGGTCTCAGGGCTGACGCAGGGCTAAAATAGAAGCGCCTCATTCCTTCAATGCTGTGGAAACCCAGCCCTCCTCTGCTCCGGGCTCAGGATGTGGAAGACCAAGTGGAAACACTAGCGGTAAGAAAGCCTCAGGGAGAAGCTCAGGGTTTTGATCGCCATAGCCTCCGCGACAAGGCGGCTTGGGGGGGGTGGGGTGGTGCTGAGGGAAGACATGAAGACTACTCGTTATAAACCGTCCCCTTACCGCTGCCCGTGCCTGCCAGAGCCAACAGATGCGACAGTGCGATCCCGGCTGGCTCTTGTCGGCCCCCAGGGCCGGGG